GCTCCCAGCGCATCAGACGGGCCGGGCCTGCTCAGGTGCGCGGGGCGGGACCGGGGGATTCAAACCCCGGAGCCGCCCCGGCCTCCTGGGCTCGTTCAGCGCTCGGTGCGGGGGCAGCGGCCGGGCCGGGCTCCTCCGGAGGGGCCCAGGTGAGGAACGGGGGCCTGGGGGTCCCATCCTGTACCCCCTCTACCCCTCCTTCCTCCTGTCCTTATTCCCTTTTCCTGCCCCCCTTCTCCCTCCCCTCCTCATTCCCCCCTATCCCCCCTTCCTCTTTCCCCCGGGGCGCCGCACAATAAAGCCCAGAGGGCCGGAGCGGCGCCCCTGCTGTCCCTGGAGCCCCCACACGGGGCCGGACCCGCTCGGCGGGACCCCCCATTGCAGTGCAATGCACGGCCCGACAGCGCCGGGGTTCCGGCTGTCCCTACAGCACACTGGGGGGCCCCGGGGGGGGTTGGGGCAAGTCCTGCTAGTCCGAGCTCAGAAATAAAACCCGAGGTTTTTCCTGAAACCAAACTCAGGAGCGCCGTGGCGGAGCCCGGGGAGCGGCGGGGCCGGGCTCGGAGGTGAGCGGGGAACGGGAGATTGGTGTCCCGGTGCAGGGATCGCTGTCCCGGTGCGGGGATCGCTGCCCCGTCCCGGGACACGGAGCGGGACAGCGGCAGCAGCAGCGGGAGCTGCGGGCAGGGGACACCGGAGCTGCCTCGGCCGAGCGGGGCCCAGGGCGGATTCTGTAGGGGCCAACATGAACATTTTGGAGTGAAATCTGAATTAATGTGCAGGGGCCAGAACGCACAGTTTGGGGTAAGGATGAGGTGGTCGGTGCTCTCCGGAGGGACCAGCTAGGGCTGGCTCTGTGTTGCTGTGAATAATTTGCTTTATGGAACGAGACACCGGGGACTGCCGCCGGAATCCAGGGCTGGAGCCGGGAAGGAAACCTGGTGTGACCGCGGGAAGGGGAGCGGGGGTCAGGCGGGGCCTCGTCGGTCACTGGAGCCGCCGCCGTGAAAGCGACGTGTAAGGACGAATAGATTGTAGGGTTACCGATAACGATACATAACGGAGCTATGGAACGATCCTTCAATGACATATAAATAAAACTCCCCCATCGTCATCCTTGTCCCAGCCCCGCTGTGTTTTCAGGATCCTGGGGGAAGAGCCGGGCTCCGGACAAGGCTCCTGGGCACAGCGAGGAATCCTTGGGGTCCTGTGCGGGGCCAGGATTTGTCTCGATGCTCCCCGCGGGTCCCTTTTGGCTCAGGAACGCCGCGATCCTGAGCCCTGGAGGGTGGCACAGGGGATCGGGGGGTTCTGCCCGCGGCGTTCGCGGCCCCGCCGGCTCCGGGCGGGTCAGAGGCGCGGCCGCCCCGGGAGCGCCCGGTGCTGCCGCCCCGTGGGCAGCGCCGGAACTGCAGCCCGGGACGGCGCCGCACCGCGGGAGCCGCGGGGAGCGACATCCCTGGGAATGCCGGGGCACCCTGGGAATGCCGAGGCACCCCGGGAATGCTGGGGCATCCCTGGGAATGCTGGGGCACCCCGGGAATGCTGGGGCACCCCGGGAATGCTGAGACATCCCGGGAATGCTGGGGGTCCCCGAGAGTGCCGGGGCGTCCCTGGGAATGCTGAGGCATCCTTTGGAATGCTGGGGCATCCCGGCAATGACGGGGCATCTCTGGGAACGCTGGGGCACCCCGGGGATTCTGAGACATTCCGGGAATGCTGGGGCACTCCTGGGAACCCTGAGGTGTTCCAGGGAATGCTGAGGCATCCCTTTCCCGGGGCACTGGGCCACACATCCCTGATGTGGTGCAGAAAAAGGAAAGTCCTGGGTTAGTGGGAGAATGTTTCTGGAATGGAACTGGGAAAGGTGCTGATCATCCCATGGAATCTGGCGCTGCTTTGGCTTGGGAGCACGGGATCATTGATGCTCTCTGGTCTGATTGCACAGCCAAGAACATCCCAAAGGGCCTCCTCACCCTCATGGACAGCAGGAATGTCTTCCATGGCTCCTGTTTGGGAATGGCAGTGGCTGTTGGGAGCTCTGGCAGGAGCACCTGGAGACCAGGTGAGAGCAGCAATGGGATCATTCCAGCTGCTGCTGGAGGTGGTTTTCTCTATTTAGGTTGTTCCTCTGATTGATCCTTTCACAGGAATTTTCTTGGATGTATTTGAGAGTAATTCCAAGAATTTGGAAATAGTTGAAAAACAGAGGGGAAAAGCTGTGAAGCTGATCCATTTCTAGTAATTCCAAACTTCTCCCACAACACCATTCTGTGTTTGGATCCAGCACAGGAGTGGGATCTTTGTCTTGTGCTGAAGAGGCAATGGGTAGAACCTCGAGTAACAGACAGGATAGAAGTTGTGTGGGAACTGCTGCTCCAGCTGGATCCCTACAAATCCATCAGGCCCGATGGGATTCATCCAAGAATCCTCAAAGAGCTGCTGATGTCAAAAACCTCTCTCAATTTTTTTGAGCAGTCTTGGGAATCTGGAGAGGTTCTAGCTGACTGGAAGCTTGTCTGGGTTTGAAAAGACAGATGTCTGTTAAGGAAGGCAGGAGCTTCTTGTGAAATGGAAAATGTAAACTTCTGTCATAATTACTATGATTTTGAAACTAAGAGGTTCTCAGGCAAAGCTATGGGAATAGGAATAACAGTTCTTTACTAGGAAAATTAAAATACAAATGCAATAGTACAAATAAACAAAAAAACCCCACTGACAGAGTCAGTATAGAACCTGACACTGTTGGTCAGGATGTTGAAAGCAGTCTGAGTAGATGGTGTTTGCAGTCTTCTTGGAGAGATAGATGTGGTTTTGTTGAGGTAATGATCTTGTGGAAAGGTGTAGTTTTCTTCTGACAGTCCAGTGGTAGTGTAGATGGGCTTGGTTTTCTTCTGGGAATTTAGTGGAGAAGAAAGCTGTTTTTCTGGGAATCTAGTGGGAAAAGGTTTTTCTCTGTTGTTTTAAATTTTAAATTATATGTAGGTAGGAATGTTTGGTTCCTCCCTCTGGGTGGACTCTCACAATGGGATGATGTAATTTTTCATTATTTATGTAGTGACACTCACTCACCATTAAAAGTAGATATCTTTTGGAGGGAGGATTGGTTGTGGAAGAGATAAAGGTTTAAGCTGGGTATTAGAAAAATGCTCCTCACCCAGAGGCTGGTTGGACTGACTCCCCAGACCAGAGGTCACAGCACCAAATCTGACAGAGCTCAACAAACATTTAAACAATGCCCTCGGGTACATGGTGTGACTTTGGGGGATGGGTTTGTGCAGGGCTGAGAGCTGGACTTGGTGATTCTTGTGGATCCCTTCCAACTCAGGATATTCTGTGATTCTCCTGGATTCTTGCAGCCAAACTTCATAGAATCCTGGAATGGTTTGGGTTGGAAAGGACCTTAAAGCTCATCTTGTTCCACTCCCCAGCCACCTTCCACTAGACCAGATCCCTCCACCCTGACCTTGAACACAAGGGATGGGACAGGTGAGCTGTGGTTTGAGTCTAAGGAATTTGGAATGGATAGAAAGGTGGTTCATCATCTCTGGTGACTGGAACTGCTGATGGATACCAGCTCCCATGGGACTGTGCCCCACCAGTGAGATTCCCCTCAGCTCACTGGTGTGGTAAGGCTGAACACAGCATTTGTAGAGCTGAAAATCTTTGGAATGCTCAAAAATTTGACACAACAGATGGGGTTTTGTGCTGGGGTTGCTCTGGGGAGTCCCCAAAGCCCTGTGGCTAACTCAAGGTGAGATAATCTCCTCTGTGTAATCACCTCCAACGTCAGAAGCTCAGAGAAGCAATAACAACCTGCCTTGGGCTTTGTCACTCACCTGGGGCTCCAGGAGCCTCTAAATCCCCAAATTACGTGGACAAATGTCTTTGCTGACAGTGGTATATTTTTAAATTCACCTGCAGAGCACCTTAACATCCACCTTGAAGAGCATCAGGAGGGAAGCAGGGAGACTGCAGGGATGTAGGGGAGGATCATCCTGGAGAACCATGAGTAGGGACAGCGCATGCCAAGCCAGCCATCTCCTGTTGTTGTTTCTTGCAAAGAAGAAACAGCTTCAGCCTTCATCTCAGCTCCTGCCTGGAGGCTCCTGGGCTCCAGTTCCTTACTGGACTCCGGGCTCAGCACCAAATCCAGGGGATCTGCTGCAGGTGTGGGATGAGGACACCCCGTTGGAACACTCGCTCTGGGTACCTCTCACTGACCACAAAGGGCTCCTGTATGAGGTCTGGCAGCTTTCCTGCAAGGAACACTTATGGATCTTACTATTGGTGATTTAAGGCATGTCCAAAAGGTGACTTTTAATTTTTTTTTCCCCCAAAAAGATATATTTTCAGGAGGAGATTGCTGAGCTTTGGGTGTTGCATGTTTTTATTTGAAGACTGCAGGAACAGAATAATAAGCTGGGGAAATATTTTAGGAAAATCATCAGGAGGGAGAGGAGACTTCATAGTCAGGAAGTTTTGGGTGCCCTTTCTCTGGAAGTGTTCAAAACCATGCTGGATGGGGCTTGGAGCAATCTGGTCTAGTGGAAGGTGTCCCTGCCCATGGCAGGGGGTGCAATGAGATGCTCTTCAAGATCCCATCCAACCCAAACCCTTACAGGAGTCTGTGGAGAAGACACAAAGCAGGTGGTTTGCAGATGCCAACAGAAAGAAGAGTAATCAATTCTGTGCTGTCTTTTACAGCTTTATTGGGTTTCTCCGTGTTTCAGGTTGTGCTGGATGATTTCAAAGTCCCAGGCTGAAGCCACACAGAGGATTGAAGGCAGCACCAAGGTAAAGCTCCTCAGGGCTGTGTAACCTACAGCTTCTCCCTGCCCATGCCATGGCTTCCACCCAGCACTGTTTATCAATCTGTGCCTAAACTCTTGTTTTAGATCTTGTAGGACTGTCTCCAAACAGATCCCACTGCAAAGAGGGTTTTCCAGCTGGAGGAAACCTCCAGCAGGGAGTTCACACAGACAACACACTTTGAAGCAATGCCAGGAATCAACTGCACCCAAGCAACGGAGCTCAGCTTGGCAGGATTCACTGAGGACACGGCAACTCAGGTCACCCTCTTCCTGCTCTTCCTGCTCACCTACCTTGTCACCATCCTGGGGAACCTGGGCATGATCACCTTGATCAGAGCCAGTGCCCTGCTCCATTCCCCCATGTACTATTTCCTGGGCAACCTGGCTTTTGTGAACCTCTGCACTTCCACCACCATCACCCCCAGGATGCTGGCTGGGGTTTTGCTGGGGAAGAAGGGAATCACCTATGCTGGGTGCATGGCTCAGATATTCACTTTTGGCCTGTTTCTGGTCACTGAGTGTTTCCTACTGGCTGCAATGGCCTATGACCAATTTGTGGCCATTTGCCACCCCCTGCTCTACCCCCTTGTCATGTCCCCAGAGCGCTGCTCCCGGCTGGTGACTGGCTCCTACCTCCTGGGGCTGACCAACGGCGTGGGACAAACCTTTGGCATGTCCAGCCTGTTCTTCTGCAGCTCCAGCACTATCGACCTGTTCTTCTGTGACATTTCCATGCTGATCTCCCTCTCCTCCTCTGACACCACCCTCAGCCTCCTCATCCTGAGGACTTCTTCATCCTTGCTCGGTGTTCCCAGCCTCCTGGTGGTCCTGATGTCCTATGTGGCCATCATCTCCAGCATCCTGAGCATCAGCTCAGCCGAGGGCAAGCGCAAAGCCCTCTCCACCTGTGCCTCCCACCTCGCCGCCCTCAGCACCTTCTATGGGCCACTGATTCTCATGTACCTAATCCCAGGGCAGACACCTCCAGGGGAGGGGATAAATGGGCTGCTGTGCTCTACACTGTGGTGACCCCCATGCTGAACCCCTGGATCTACAGCCTGAGGAACCGGGAGGTGAAGGAGGCTTGGAGGAGACTCAGGAAAATAAAATTAGCTTGGACATTTTAACGTTGTGGGGATGTGGATGATACGCTGGAATTTTTGTGAAATATGTAGAGAGACATTTTTGGGGCCTTCTGCACTTTGATTTAGATGATGTGCTGGCTGATTCAGTATCAGCCGACAATAACAATTTCACTCCAGTTTTGGTGTTTGGATGAGGCTTGGAGCAGCCTGATCTAGTGGAAGGTGTCCCTGCCCACAGCAGGAGGTTGGAACTGAGTGAGCTTTGAGGTCCCTTCCAACCCAAACCATTACAGAATTCTGTGACACATTTGGTGTTAAAGCATTGCATATATGAAAAAACCCCAAACCCTCTAAATCAGAGCATTATCTCACCCTGTGCCAGATCCATGGTGAAATTCAGAGTGATGAGACTCTCCCAGAGACTCAGAACAACTTGGGATGGAGGAGAAGCTGCTCAGTTGGATTAAATCAATCCAGAATCAAGGTAGTTTGCTGATTTAGTGATGACACAAAACTCACAGGCACTCAGGGTCACTCAGCTGAATCCTTTTTTCCCAAATCTTGCCAACAATTCCCTGATTATTATTTAGTCAGGATGCCTGGCTGAATCCCCCTGAGCTGTTTGTGCTCCTGTTCCTCTTTCCTCAGCTGTGCTGAGCCCCCATGGGCGGCTCCAAAGGGCCTCAACTCACATCCACAGATGTGGAGACAACATCCTCAAGTGGCACCAGGGGAGGTTTGGGTGGGAAAGGAAAAATTCCTTCATGGGAAGGGCTGTCCAGCCCTGGAATAGGCTGCCATCCCTGGAGGGGTTTAAAAGGTGTGTGGATGTGGCACTTGGGGACATGGATTAGTGGTGACCTTGGCACTGCTGTGGGAATGGTGGACTTGATGATCCCAGAGGGTTTTTTGCAACCTAACCAGTTCTGTGACTCTGTGATCAGGACCATGAACTGGGACCTCTGTGTGTATCTCCTGCTGTTCTCCCACCCTTCTGTTCCTCCCTGCCACCCTCAGGGCATTGTTTAATTTGGGTGCAGACAAGATTGTACATTTTATCTTTAAATAGGACTAAAGATTATTTTTAATGTCTTATTTAAAACATAAATCCCCCCATAATTTTTAATTGATTAAAACATTAAGGCATTTAAAACATAAGCCCCAGAACAGCTCTCTTTGCTCCGAGACCTTACAGCCATTATTTGGCAATACAAAAAATATTTGAAAAATATTCAATATTTGAAAAATATTCAATATTTTAGTAATATTTTGAGAAAGCATTTCATGGTTTTAATTTCTTTGTCCAGCTGGTCTTGCCTTGGCCATCAGCTGACCTTTAAACAGGAACGTGAGCCCTTAGTGAATTAAACCCTGAGTCTGTGGCCGTGGCACTGTCACTGTGCATGCTGTGGCTTTGTGCTGGAGCTGCTGCTCTCAAACCCAAAAGGTTTTGGGTTGTGGTGCAAGTGGGGACTGGGGAAAGGAGGGTGAACTGTGTCCAGCTTCTGTGGGAACAGCACCTGACCATGCATGAGAGGAGCTGGAGGCACCGTGTGGGAAGGAGATGGAACGTCCAGCACTGATGTTTGCTCCTGGTGGACACACATTCCCCACATATTCCTCAGGGGCCATCCTGTGTCCCTGCCCCTGGCAGGGCATTGGAATGAGAGGAGCTTTCAGGTCCCTTCCAACCCCAGCCATCCCAGCATTCTCTGGCTGGCACAGTTTACTCCCCGTGAGCCTCCTGAACCCATTTTGGAGCACACATTGCAAAATGGCTTTTGAAAATGAGTTTTCCTGGTCAGAAATGGGCAGATGGGAATCAGGTAAGCTTGGAAAAGGGAAAATGCTGAGTGTTGCCCATGGGGAGTAATTGTCCCAGACACTGGGACAGGGGAGCAGCTGTGGAGGTTTGGTGGCCACCAGGATGGAGATGAACCATCAGTGAGTGTTCTGAGTGCAAGGACATCCACCAGCAGCTGGAGAAAAGCACTGACAGCCACCAAGGGACTTCCTGCAATGAACCCTGACTGACAGCTGGAGGAACAGGGAAGGAAAAGCTTCTTTGGGAGGGTGAGAAGAGAAATATGAAATTAGACAAGAATTTAAAAATTTTTCAAATTCAAGCCTTTAGCAAAAATCCTCCTTTTGGTGTTTCCTCTTGTTTGTGTTCACAAATGGCATTGCCCAGGCTCTGCAGGCATCAATTCTGATGTGCTGTGGGCATCCCATCCCTAAAACTCCAGGGAGAAACCTTGGGATGGATCCCAGGGCCTCTGGAGAAGGCTCATGGTGTGTTCAGGTGCCTCAGAGACCCTGTGGTAATTGGTTGCGTGGGGATGGGGTAAAACTTAAATATTCCAGCCATGTTAGGGGAAGGGAAAACTTCTTGGATTTGTCCAGACTGATGGAGCTTGTGGACTTCAGCTCCAGGACCTGTGAGAATCTTAACAATCAGAGAGGGTGGAACTTTAAGTGGTTTTGAGACAATTTTTTGCTGGTTGCAGAAAATTGTCCTTCTCAAGCGTTTGCAGAAGGATATAATAGCAAATAACTCCAGGAAATTGTGGAAGTTCTTCCTGATTGCAAAACATGTATTCCAGTACATCTAAACCTTCATTCCTAACTCACATTTTGGATGAATGTTCCTCATATCATCAGAATTAGGAGGCACACTCTGGCCAAATTGACTGAAGGGTCAATCTGAACCTAAAAGTCTTAAATTCAGCTCATCATTATCACCAGAAAATGTAAAAATAAATTGTAGCAGGAAAGTTCCTGCAGAGTTTTCCTTTCATCCTGATTGGCAATTGCAACACTTCTCCAAACCCTGGGCTGTCTCATTCCCTGAATCTCCATTTCTTACACCAGTTCTTTTTAATTCCCTGTGATCCCAGGAAATTATTTTTATATTCTAAGAGATACATTTAAATGTATGCAATTACATATAATATATAAAATAAAATTATATAAATCCATATAATATATAAAATAAAATTATATATATTAGGAAAATATTAATATTTATTAAGTAATTACATGTCTAACTGCATATATAAATTAAACCTCTATATTAACTTTATTTATATAGTAAAATGTTAATATATTTAATTATATATGTATATATATATAGGTATAGAGTGGTAAATAAATCCTCAAGCTGCCATTTAACTTCTGAAACTAATTGAGTTATTTTATTTTAACTAATGGTCTTTATTTACCAGCACAGGTCTCCCCTTTAAGGAGCTGCTTCCAAAGTCATCCATTCCCAAGGGAAATTTCCTCCTCCAGGGCTGGGCAGTGACAAACTCCTTGGTGTTCCTGTGAATGAGGACTGCAAACAGCAGATTTTTTGGTCAAGTTTTAATGCTTTTTGTGAAGGTAAATTTGTGAAGGTAAATTATTCCCACGCTAACACTGGGTTTATTTCTCCCTGGAAATTTTGGTCTGGGAGAGAAAATCTGATCAAGCAAAAATGGCCCTGAGAGGTGAGGAAACAGGTGAGGTTTTGCCAAAATAAGGCTGCAGGGAAGTGATCTGTTGCAAGGAGAGGGCTTGAAGTGGGAGCCTGTTCCCACAACAAAAAATCATCCAGGCTCAGGGTCTCTGAGGCAAAACCCAGGAATTTATAATGAAATCCATGCTTGGGTTGGAAGGGACCTTATGGATCCTCCAGTGATGATCCATGGGCAGGGACACCTTGCCTTTGCCCAGGTTGTTCCAAGCCCTGTCCAACCTGGCCCTGAAGATCAATCATTGCATACAGCACTACCTGGATTATTTCCCAAATTATAAATATTCTATTTATTTGAACTGTATTATCAGCATCTTACTCCCCCCAGTTAATCATGGTACCACAACATTTTAGAGGCTTCCAGAATTTTAAAACCCTTTTCTTTCTCCACTTAACACTTCTCACAGGAGTGACACAAGTATCACCATATTTAAAGGGTTTTTTAATACACTAAATCTCCTGTTTGAACTTGAATTCCAGTTTCACGGGAAGGAAGAGAAGAAATTTGGTTTATTTTAATTTGTTCTAACTCTCCTAAAGAAAATTTTAAAGATGTCCTGATCTCTCACCAGTGCTTTGTCTCCTTTGGATCTTCTAAACCAATGAAGTTTGGGGTGGTTTTTTGGGTGGTTTTTGTTGTTTTCAGTGTTTTTTTCAAATTCATAATGATTTCTAAAGTCAGGGTAAATTGCTGGGGTTAATGCTTTGAATCTGATGAATAATCATTCCCTTAACTTCTTCAGGAGGTGGTATAAACCTTCGACTGTGCAAAGTGATTTATCAAACCCAATGAGTGACTAAACCAGACTAAAACCATTAGAAACAAACTCAGTAGTGAACTTTGACTACTTTAAAATGTATTTTGAACCAAACAGTAAATTCTACAGTTCCTGCATCTCCAGGCTGTGCTTGCTGATAAAAACACAGGCATTTTTAACAAGTTTGTGCAGAAAACAGGAATATCCTGACTCTCCATCTGGGCTTTCCCACAGCACCTGCATTTGGATGGCAGCCAAAGGAAATGGAAGCACCAGTGCTCACTTTGTCCTCTTGGGATTCTCTGAGCAGGGCCATGTCCATGTTGTCCTGTTTGTGGTGTTCCTGGTGCTCTATGTGGTCACCCTGCTGGGGAATGCGGGGCTGCTGATGTTGATCAGGCTCGTTGTCCGGCTCCACATCCCCCTGTACTTCTTCCTGAGCAGCCTGTCCTTCCTGGAGCTCTGCTATTCCTCCTGCATCACCCCCAGCCTGCTCCGGGCTCTCCTGGATGAGGACAAGGCCATTTCCCACGCCAAGTGCCTCACGCAGTTCTATTTCTACGTGGCCTTTGCCACCACCGAGTGCTGCCTGCTGGCTGCCATGGCCTACGACCACTGCGTGGCCGTCTGCCACCTCTGCTCTACCCCTGTCCATGTCCCGAGGTCTTGGGTTGCTGCTGATATTTGCTGCCCCGAGATGTGCAGGATGTCTCTGCTTCGGCCCACATAACTGAAGAATGAGTCTGAACTCTTCACTTTTCGGTCTTGAG